TGAGCGGCCATCCCTCATCGGCTGAGAAGGAAGAGAAGCTGTCTAGGGCTGGGACCTCTGCTGCCCTCTGAGCCACGCCCAACCCTCAGGCACCTTCCCTGAGTCTGTGGGAGGCGGGAGGGGTGAGTCTGAATGGGGCTTCTGGGCAGTTTGCCTCCCGAGGGCTCTTCTGGCTCTTCCTGAGAAACGTGCAGAAATTGGGGCATGGCCCCGGGCCAGAGTCTAGAGATAAAGTCCCTGAGAGCTATCAGTGCGCCACAGCCAAAGACCCAGTACTACTCATGGCCTTCGACCCAGGAAATGGTCCAAGAGAAAGGAAAGGCTGTGTGCAGGAAGGAGGCCAGGGCACGGACTCACAGAGCACAGGAAGTACAGCCCCAGCCTCACACTTCGGGGGCCAGAGGCCTGGGCTCAAGCCCAGCTCTACCACTCACCTTTGCAGTGACCCTGGGCAAGTCCCTCCTCCATGCTGGGTTTCCCCAAGTCTGAGGTCCAAGAGAGGGTGCTGGGATCCATTCGTGATGCCTGCCACAGGTACAAGATAAGAGAGTGCAGCTGTGGTCTCCATTCCTGGTCTCTAGAGCCCTTCAAGAGCTACAGTTTTGGCTGGGCACGGTGGCTCACGCCTGTCATCCCAGCACTGTGGCAGGTGGATCACAAGATCAAGGGATCGAGACCACCCTGGCCTACATGGTGAAACCCCCATCTCTACTAAAAATACAAAAATTAGCTGGGTATGGTGGTGCGCGCCTATAATCCCAGCTACTCAGGAGTCTGAGGCAGGAGGCACAGATTGCAGTGAGCTTGCAGTGAGCTGAGATCTCATCACTGCACTCTAGCCTGGCGATAGAGCAAGACTCCATCTCGGGGGAAAAAAAGAGCTGCAGTTGTATAACGGAAGTTTTTGGCTAATCCTGGATGAACCCATTTTATCAGAAAATCTGTAGTTTTGTTTTTAAACACCTCTTTTTAATTGCAAAATTTATATAGCTAAAAAAAAAGGCAAAGATATTAAAGCCAGCCATTTGTCCCACCATCTAGCTATAACCATGATTAACATTTTGGCACATTTCCTTCCATTTTTTTTCTCAGTTTTGATATACAAATATACATAGATATACATATAACAATAGCTTCTGTCATTGAGCACTTATGGTAACACCTGACTGTTGGGCTTCTCATGCATAATATCTCATTTAACTCTCCACAGTCCTACAAGGAAGAGATGATTATCCATTCACATTTTACAGATGAGGAAAAAGAGACTTGCAAAATTTGAGCAGGTGCACACCATGCTCATGTTTTAATTTTTGAAAGCTCTCCTTGAAGACAGTGTACAAGATGCCCTGGGGGCTGAGCAAGAGGTCAGTGCCAGCCGGGCGCAGTGGCTCACACCTGTAATCCCAGCACTTTGGGAGGCTGAGGCAGGTGGATCACGAGGTCAGGAGTTTAAGACCAGCCTGGCCAACATGGTGAAACTCCCTGTCTACTAAAAATACAAAAATTAGCCAGGCGTGGTGGTACACACCTGTAATCCCAGCTACTCAGGAAGCTGAGGCAGGAGAATTTCTTGAACCTGGGAGGTGGAGGTTGCAGTGAGCCGAGAACGAACCACTGCACTCCAGCCTGGGTGACAGAGTGAGCCCGTCTCAAAAAAGAAAGTCAGTGGCTTAAGCATTGGTCCACAGAGACCTGGGCCATGGCCTGTAGGTGCAGTGTCCTTCCAAGATCCTAGTTCTGGGTACTGCCCTGCCAGGACAGGGCAGGAGACATGTACCTCTCTTCCCTGCCCTGCTGTGGAGGATGCAGACCACTTGAAAGAAATAAACTTTCAGCTACCTCCATAAATGTCACAAAGGACAGGAGTCCACATTTTTTCCTCTTTTTTTGTTTTCTTTCTCTCTGAATGTGTAGGTGTGTGTATAAATTTTTTTCAGAAGCATTTGAGGGTAAGTTACATTCATTTTAGCTCTTTATCCCTAAATACTCCTGTGTTTCTTAAAAATACACATATCCTCTTACATAACTGCAGTATATTATTGGCTTCTGTAAGTTTAATGTTGCAATAATACTTTAATCTACCATTCTTGTTCAGATTTGTTAAATACTGTCCTTTTAGCCTTGTCCCCTCCAGTAGGGGATCCAGTCTAGGGGGAGGTGTCTGATCACCTTTTCCTGAGGGGAGAGAGCAGGATTAGGCAGAGTGTTTCCAGAGGGAGCACAGCAGCACCTCCTCTGTTTGCAGAGCTTCTAAAATGCATGCAGAGGCCAGGCCTGGTGGCCCATGCCTGTAATCCCACACTTTAGGAGGCCAAGGCAAGAAGATCACTTGAGCCCAGGAGTTCGAGACAAGCCTGGGCAACATAGCAAGACCCCATCTCTATAAACAATTTTTAAAATTAGCTGAGCTGGCTGGACACGGTGGCTCATGCCTGTAATCCCAGCACTTTGGGAGGCTGAGGTGGGTGGATCACCAGGTCAGGAGTTCAAGACCAGAGTGGCCAACATGGTGAAACCCCATCTCTACTAGAAAATACAAAACTTAGCTGGGCATGGTAGCCCATGTCTGTAATCCCACACTTTAGGAGGCCAAGGTGGAAGATCGCTTGAGCCCAGGAGTTTGAGACCAGCCTGGACAACATAGCAAGATCCCATCTCTACAAATATCTTTTAAAATTAGCTGAGCTTGGTGGCACACACCTGTACTTCTAGTTACTTGGGAGGGTGAGGTGAGAAGATTGTTTTACCCTGAGTTCAAGGCTACAGTGAATCATGATTGCACCACTGCGCACCAGCCTGGGCAATAGAGTGAGACCCTGTCGCTTAAAAAAAAAAAGTACAGTGGTTACTACACCGTTGGAGAGGGTAATAGAAGAAGATGAGGTCAGATGTTCCCTGAGTCCACCATGTTCTTGAAAGTCGCCCTATAAAAAAATCCTGAGATTATTGATTCTGCAAAGTTAAGGCCTATATTGTGTGTTCACCTTGCATTCAGCCCCTGCAACAGTACCTGCTCCCCTGGGCACCTCGGGAATCTTGTGGGATGGATGGATGTTGGCCAGTTTTCTTCTCAGCTGTCTCTTTCACGTCAATATAAAAGTGGTTGGGGGTGCATTGTTGTGGGTGGCTCAAGAACCAGGGACTAGATGGTGGCTGTGAGCTGCATTGGCAGGCCCGGGGTCTGGGTCATGGTCCCTGTGGTCCCTGTTCTGCCAGGGCCATGCAGTGTGATGTGGAAAATGAGTGGATCGGTCACACCAGTCCAAGTTTCTACGATTGAACTCGTGTGGTTTCCCTGAGACCCCAAGAAATCCGAGTCTGTTGGTAGAGTTGGAAATAGCTTCAGGACTGTGTGGCTTGGGCTGGGGGGGCCTGTATGTCCCTCCCAGCATCTGTACAGGTATTCTCAACAGGAAAGGGGAAAACAAGGGAAATGCCCTTTCTATGTAGTTGAGATAGAATTCACATACCAGAAAAGTCACCATTTTGGGTTTTTTGTTTTTTGTGTAAGACAGGGTCCCATTCTGCTGCCCAGGCTGGAGTGCAGTCATGAAATCACAGCTCACTGCAGCCTTGACCTCCCAGGCTCAAGCAATCCTCCCACCTCAGCCTCCCACCTAGCTGGGACTACAGGCATGTGACACTATGCCTGGCTTTTTTTTTTTTTTTTTTTTGAGACAGAGTCTCACTCTATTGCCCAGGCTGGAATGCAGAGGCACGATCTTGGCTCACCACAAACTCTGCCTCCCGGGTTCAGGTGATTCTGCTGCCTCAGCCTCCCACGTAGCTGGCATTATGGGCATGCGCCACCATACCTGCCTAATTTTGTATATTTAGTAGAGATGGGGTTTCACCATGTTGACCAGGCTGGTCTCAAACTCCTGACCTCAGGTGATCCATCCACTTTGGCCTGCCAAAGTGCTGGGATTACAGGCATGAGTCACTGAGCCGGGCCTAATTTTTTTATTTTTTTAAAGAGACCAGGTTTTGTCATGTTTTCCAGGTTGGAAAATTCACAATTTTGAAGTGTATAGTTTAGCGGATCTTAGTATATTCACAAGGTTGTGAGTATACTGTGAATAAACTATCACCACTACCTAATTTTAAAATAATTTTATCACTCCAAGAAGACACCGCACACCCATTAGCAGTCAGTCCCTATTGCCGCTTCTCCCAAGCCCTAGGCAGCCCGACTCTGCTTTCTGTCTCCACGACAGTATTGTTCTGGGTTTTTCATATGCATTACTTTGGGTTCCAGATACCAGATGCCAGGGGGTCGTATTAATGTGCTCGAGCACTGAAACCGCATCTGAACATCATCTAAGTGGAATCACACCACGTGTGGCCTTTGGTGCCTGGCTGCTGCTTCTAGTGTTTTCAAGTTCGTCGGTGCCGTAGCATGGACCAGTGTTCATTCCTCTTTCCGGGGACGGCAGTGTCCCACTGCATGAATATGCTGCATTTTGTACATCCATTCTTCACTGGAGGGCACTTGGGTTGTTCCCACTTTTTGACATTATGAAGAATATTGTTGTGAATATTGGTGAACCAGTTTCTTGTAGACCTATCTTTTCATTTTTCGTGGGGATAGACCTCGGAGTGGAATTGCTGGGTTGTGTGGGAACCGTTTAACATTTTGAGGAACCGCCAGACTGTTTTCCAAAAGAGCTGCACCATTTTCATTTTACATGCCCGCCAGCAGTGTATGAGGAGAATACCCGTTTACCAAACATCTGCCATATGCCAGGCACTGTACCACACCCCCTCTCCCATGATCCTCACACCTACCCGTGAAACACCTGTGACTGCTCCATTTCACTGAGGACACCAGAGCTCAGAGAAGTGAAGTAACTCCCCCAGGATCACATAGGAATAAAAAGGAAGGCCTAGATTCACACCCAGCTCTGTCCCTCACATGTTCCTGCTGACTGACTATGTGACTGTCCAGACGCTAATGTTGAATCTACCTCCTCCCAACCCTCCTGGGCACTGTCTTGCAGACAGGAAAGTTGGACCCCCACTACCCAAAGGTCTGCGGGCACAGAGGGAATGTCTTGGACGTCAAGTGGAACCCTTTTGATGATTTTGAGATCGCCTCCTGTTCTGAAGATGCTACAGTGAGTGTCAGCTGAGGGCCTTCCCTTTCCTGAAGGGTGGGATTGGGCTGGCTGGGTAGACAGTACCTGTTCTTGGCTCTGGTGCCCCTGACTCCATTGCTGAGGTGAGGTCACTGTGTGGGGAGGTGTTAAATTAGGTAGAGGAGGAAACATTCTGGGTGCTGTAGGACTAGGGGCACCACCCCTCCTCTCTATGGGCCTCAGTTTCCCACCTATAACATGGACATAATAGCGCCACCCAGCTAATAAAGCCCAGTGAAAATGTATATTCCAATGGGAAAGCCCAGTCCTTCGGGGATATAAAATGCTACAAGGGGCATTTTTACGGTGATCAGAAAAGATGTTCCACTTAATCGCACAGTGAGGAAGTGAGCTGTAAAAGGCTGTGAGGGCCTTGGATGAATGTGGACACTAAAACCATTCCAGCAGCTTCAGTCTCACTCACTTTTTTGAGCTTCTCTTCTATGCCAGGGTTATATTCCTGCCCCAACAATGTTCAGTGTTACCTATTTATAATTCACTTTGTACCCATTTCTAAAATACGGTGGATATTGCTTAAGACAAAAACCATAGATATGCCAGGTTCAGTGGCTCACACCTATAATCCCAGCACTGGGAGGCTTGAGGCCAGAAGTTGGAGACCAGCCTGGGCAACATACTAAGACCTTGTCTCTACTAAAAAAAAATTAACGGCCAGGCACGGTGGCTCACGCCTATAATCCCAGCACTTTGGGAGCCTGAGGCGGGTGGATCATGAGGGCAAGATATCGAGACCATCCTGGTCAACATGGTGAAACCCCATCTCTACTAAAAATATAAAAATTAGCTGGGCATGGTGGCGTGCACCTGTATTCCCAGCTACTCGGGAGGCTGAGGCAGGAGAAGTGCTTGAACCTGGGAGGTGGAGGTTGCAGTGAGCCAAGGTCACGCCACTGCACTCCAGCCTGGCGCCTGGTGACGGAGTGAGACTCTGTCTCAAAAAAAAAAAAAAAAAAAAAAATTAAAAACACAGATATGATCAGATGATTAAAATAAAGATAAAAGTCATTGTCACCATTTATTGTGAGCCCACCATATTCCTAACTGTCCCATTTCACAATCTTCCCAGCAACCCCACAAGGTAGGATATTTTTCTGATGGAGAAGCTGAGGATCAGAGAGGTACAGCAGTTTCCTCAATGTTACACAGCCTGTGCGAGTCAGAGCCAGGCTTCAGACTGAGGCCTGATCCAGAGCCCATTCTCTTTCCACTGTGCTATATCATGCCTTTAAAGAGCAGTAGCCACAGATGGAGAAAGTGAAGAAATACTAGAAATGACGGCTATGGAGGGTTGCAGCAGCCAAGTTCCTAGTTTAGCTCAGAGCTACCTGGCAGCCAAGGCAAAATGGGCATAAAATGTATTGCAAAACCTTCAGTTAGATCAAAGGAAGCAGACCAGTTCATCTGGAAAGGCAGGCAGAAAATTCAAAGAGGATTTGTGTCAGTTTCCATATAGCAAATGCTGAGGAACGTAAAGGACAGTGTCTGCCGAGGTGATTTCACCAAAGGGCAGTCAGGTCCTGTGAGAATTGGCCCCGTCTCCAGAGAGTGTAGGGCCTCTGGCAGGATATCAGATATCTAAAACAGTCCCCACTTTTGTAATACCTGCCTTTCCGGGCCTGCTTTGAAGGCTCCCTTCAAGATCGTTATTAAATCTCTTGCCGCCACTGTCCCTTCCCTAATGCCCCAGGGCAGGACATGACTATTAGGGGGTAGGTGCGGCAGTTCCTTTTCTCCCCGAAGCTATGCCCACAGTGAATTTATGGAGTGAATTCAGTCCTGTTCCTCCCTGCCTTCAGGACCTGGAGGGCACGGTGGCTCCTCCAGCACCGGGGAGTCTTCTCTTCTTCAGTGCTGGGGCGGTCCCTTCATCTTCCAAACACACCTGTTTGGAGTGCGTCTGCCTCCTGGCGGTCTATACAGCGGCAGCTCTCACCAAACCGAAGTTTCTGGAGCCTGGCACTACTTTCATGGGGTTGGCTTCCTGGTTTTAAATCCAAGATGACCAGGAAATAAATATTTGCTGAATTGAAAGCAAAGTTATCTACTTGAAAAACCTGTATACCTCCAAGGGAAACAGTGCGTACAATCAGCCAGGGGCCAGAGAACCTTGCAGGACCAACAAGGAAGGTCAAGTCAGCACCGTCCCAGGCTCACCTTGTACCTCCATTTGTATACCTCCGTGACAGGGAGCTGACTCTGCCATGGCGCCCCTTCCATCTGCAGACACCACTCTGGAAGGAAGTCCCAGACCCTCTTCTCAAGCCCCAGGCCCCTCACCCTGAAATATAGGCCTGTGACCCATCCAGCCTGGCCTCCTGGCCTTCAGAGTTTCCTCTTGCAGGCTATCCAGAGTGCACCTCCACAGCAAGAAGTTTGTCTCTGCCCTGCTCTAGAGACTTCACTAGCTCCCTAGTACTCTGAAGATGCAGCCTAAACCCTTCATCCTGGCATTTGAGACTTCACCCTGGGCCTTTGGGACAAGAAGTGTATAGATCAATGAACTCTGGGAGATATCCTAGCCTAGGAGACAGGCCTGCAACCCAGCCACCTGCCCACCACCTCAGGCCAGCAGGATGACAGAGATCCCTAAAGGGCAGATTGGGAGGCTTAGACTCATCTCTGGTCAGCGCTGGCCCCTGCTCAGGCTGGAGGAGCTTGGTGAAGCCCCTGTCCCTCTGAGGACCCTCAGTGCCCCTAGCCACTGAGTGGGAGCAGGCTATGGAGAGCGCTCCCTCAGGCCTTCTGCTGGTCACTGCCAGATCTGTGGCTTAGGCTGGTGATGGTGCCAATGTGCCCTGGCTAATGCTCTCTTGGGCCATGTCTCCCTTGCCAGATTAAGATCTGGAGCATTCCCAACCAGCTGCTGACTAGAAACCTCACGACCTGCAAGAAGGAGCTCGTGGGCCACGTGCGCAGAGTGGGCCTGGTGGAGTGGCACCCCACGGCCGCCAACATCCTCTTCAGTGCCGGCTATGACTACAAGGTGAGTCTGGGTGTTCTTTTTCTGGGGCAGCCCCAACAAATTCCCACAAACTGGAATACAACAGAAATGTATTCTGTCACAGTTCTGAAGACCAGAAATCGAAAATCAAGGTGTTGGCCGGGCATGGTGGTTCACGTCTGTAATTCAGCACTTTGGGAGGCCAAAGCGGGCAGATCATGAGCTCAGGAGTTTGAGACCAGCCTGACCAACATGGTGAAACCCCATATCTACTAAAAATAAAAAATTAGCTGGGGGTGGTGGCACGTGCCTGTAATCCCAGCTACTCAGGAGGCTGAGGCAGGAGAATCGCTTGAACCCGGGAGGTAGAGGTAGCAGTGAGCTGACATTGTGCTACTGCACTCCAGCCTGGGTGACAGAGCAAGACTCTGTTTCAAAAAAAAAAAAAATTAATAAAAGAAAATCAAGGTGTTGGGAGAGCCAGCTCCCTCCAGAGGCCCCAGGGAAGAATCCTGTGCGTCTCTGGTGGCTCCAGGCATCCTTGGCTGCTAGCTGTGCCACTCCAGGCTCTGCTTCTGTCTGCGCATGGCCTCCTTTCTGTGTCTGTCTTTCTTATAGGAAGAGGAGAGCACCTGTCATTGGATGTAGGGCCCACCTGAATCCATTATGATCTCATCCTAACTAATTTCAGCTGCAAAGACCCCATTTACAAATAAGCTCACATTCTGGAGTTCCAGGTGGACATAAGTTTGGGGGAGACCCTATTCAACTCATTACAGCCTGCCTGGAGGGGATTGGGTGGCACTGCCCAGGAAATTGGTCCCCCGACCCTGCCCCACTGATGACCAAACATGGAGGCAGTAGGCCCTGTAGATTGGAACCCACCGTACAGGAAACCTCAATTCTATTCCGACTCAGTCTCTGACCTGCAGTATAGACTGGGAAAGTGCCTTGACTTCTCTAGGCCTCAGTTTCCCAATCTGTACACAAATTGAATAGACGGGACCATGGCTATGGCTTTTCAGTTCTTTCCTTTTGACTCTATAGGGGTTTACAGAGGCAACTCAGAACCCTCTGTGATGGATAAAAGGGAAGTGGGGCCTGGACACGGTGGTTCACACCTGTAATCCCAACAGTTTGAGAGGATGAGGTGGGAGGATCACTTGAGCCCAAGAGTTTGAGACCAGCCAACATAGTAAGACTGGTTGTAAGACTCTACAAAAAAATAGAAAAAGTTAGCCAGGTATGGTGGCATGTACCAGTAGTCCCAGCTACTGAGGAGGCTGAGGCGGCAGGATCACTTGAGCCCAGGAGGTTGATGCTACAGTGAGCCATGATCATGCCACTCCACTGCAGCCTGGGCAACCCTGTCTCAAAAATAAATAACTGAAAGGGGTGTGGAGAGCACTGAGGGAACCTGGGCTCTCTTCTGATCTTCAGTGCTTTCTTAGCTGTTTGTGTTGGGTGTCTGAGAGCTGCTGACTGTTTGTGCTGGTTGTTCTGTTTTTTTTTTTGAGACAGAGTCTCGCTTCAGTTGTCCAGGCTGGAGGGCAGTGGCGCAATCCTGACTCGCTGCAGCCTCTGCCTCCCAGGTTCAAGTGATTCTCCTGCCTCAGCCTCTCAAGTAGCTGGGATTACAAGTGTGCACCATCAAGCCTGGCTATTTTTATATTTTTAGTAGAGATGAGGTTTCTCCATGTTGGTCAGGCTGGTCTCAAATTCCCAACCTCAGGTGATCTGCCCACCTCAGCCTCTCAAAGTGCTGGGATTACAGGCGTGAACCACTGCACCCAGCCTGTGCCAGTTGTTCTATACACAGCTCCAGGGGGCGCTAGTCCCATCCTAGGCTATAGGAATGGATTGATTGCCCTGGAGCTCTGCATGCACAGCCTGTGTGGATAAACATACAGCCTTGTTGATCTGTGTGAGGTGCAAACTGCTGCTAATAACCGAAACCGCCTGGACGAGCTGGTTCCCTGGGGTCCTCCCTGCATGGATGTTTTGTTGTTCAGAGGCAGGTGGTGTTTTCCCTTCATCACTAGGCAGCCTGGCCCTGGGATTCCTACTCCTGCCACAAGCAGCTTCAGCCTGCACATCATCCTCCCACCGAGGCTTCCTGGCCAGGCTGCCAGCTGTGCTGCCCTCCCGGGGATACCATGTTTCACTGCAACCTGGCCAGTGTGTGACTGGGGGAGTCAGGGGCGGGGTGGCCCCGGTGCTAAGAGCTGGCTCTCTGCCTTGCAGGTGATGATCTGGAACCTGGATACAAAGGAGTCTGTCATCACAAGCCCCGTGAGGACGATTACCTGTCACCAAGATGTGATCCTCTCCATGTCCTTCAACACCAACGGCAGCCTGCTGGCCACCACCTGCAAAGACCGCAAGATTCGGGTTATTGACCCCCGAGCAGGGACCATCCTCCAGGTCAGTGCTGGGCCAGGGGCTGGCTCGGGCTCAGAGGAGCAAGGGGTAGGGGTGCAGGGGGAGGCTTCAGAGAACAGGACAATGATGCTGTCAGCGTCGGGGCCACACCTTCACAGGCACCATCGCCGTCTGTCCTCTCGGGATTGCTGGGGGTGGGATATGTCATTTCCATTTTGCAGATGAGAAAACCAAGGCCTGTGAGAGATGAAATGACTCACCCACATGGAGAGCTGGGATCTGAACATGATCTGACTCCAAAGCTTGTTGGTGTGCCTCAGCTCTGTCACTGGCCAGCGGGGTCAGGAGAGCCGACGACACCACTGTTTAGTCCCTGTGCAACCTTAGGCAAGCATTCCTGCTCTTAGCCTCTGTTTTCACATCTGCAACAATGGGCTGTGGGTTTTTCCTCTCCAAGGATTAGATAAGATGGGCCAGGTGACAGCGCCTACCGAGGTAGGGGTGCCTGATACTCTTTCAGCAAGAACAGGGGGCTGGGCAGAGGTTTGCTTCTGTTCTTGCTCAGAAAAATAACTCTTAACAAAGATAGTGGGGAGAGACTCCATGTGGATGAGAGGGATCCAGGTGGTGCCCCTGGGAATAATCTCCAGGCAGAGTTGGGGTGAGAAAGGGCGGCCTTCTCACCAGGGGGAGCAGCAGCATAAGCAAAGCAGAGAGGCCGGAAACCCCAGCTGCTCCCCGGAATCCCCTCCAGCGTCTCTCCAACACCCACCGCACATGTCCCTCCAGGAGGCCAGCTACAAAGGGCACCGGGCCAGCAAGGTGCTGTTTCTGGGGAACCTGAAGAAGCTGATGTCCACGGGCACATCGCGATGGAACAACCGGCAGGTGGCCCTCTGGGACCAGGTGAGGCCTGCACCCCTCACTATCACCCCTCAGCTGAGAGCCAGCGTCATTCATTCACACATGCATTCATTCAGACACCCATTTATGTCTCACACATTTAGCATAGATTGCCAGGTGCTGGGGATCTGGGGAAGAATAGCAGGGAGATGCCAATTGCCCTGGGCACGCCCAGACCCTGTGCATCTTACACAGGAGGGAGGTAAGTCAGGACCCAGTGGAGGCCCTGGGCTAGACGAGATGAGGTAGCTGAGTCTGGGACCAGGACTAGGAGAAAGGGAGAAGGAGAGGGCCAGCTGGGCAGAGGGGGCAGCCGGAGCAAATGAGGTAGTAATGGGTATGGGGAGGAAGAGCTTTCATCAGGACAGCTGAGGGTAGAGCAGGGGTGAGGGCCATGCCTGCGGTAGTGTTTTGAGGGAGCATTTGACAGGAGTTTCAAAGACTGGGCAAATCACACTTTCTCTCTGCGTCTCCTTCTTCATCTATTAAAATAAAATTTTAAAAACAGGTAGGGGAAGAGTAGAATGAGATCGGATTTGTCAAAAGTGATTTGTTATGGCCAGGCATGGTGGTACATGCATGTAATCCCAGTACTTTGGGAAGCCAAAGTGAGAGGATTACTTGAGGCCAGGAGTTCGAGACCAGTCTGAACTACACAGCAAGACCCCCATCTCTGCAAAAAATCAGCTGGGTGCAGTGGTGTGTGTCTATAATCCCAGCTACTTGGGAGGCTGAGGCAAGAGGATTGCTTGAGCCCAAGAGTTTGAGGCTGCTGTAAGCTATGATTACACCACTGCACTCCAGCCTCGGTGACAGAGACAGACCTTGTCTCAAAAAAAAAAGTGATTTGTTAAGGGCAGGAAGCTGACAAGATAGGTGGTAGCAGCATTTTAGTGCCTTTAACATGTCATCTCCACCAGAGAGTAGCCCACACATTGGACCCCAAGAACCGGGGACATCTTCCCCCAGGACACACATAAAAATCACACTTTTTCTGACACACACACTCTTGCCCAGAGCGCCATGGCAGGAATCATCTCCGGGAGCACCACTGAGGGCCCCCAGGAGTGACCCAGGCCTTCCCTGCCTCCCCTTCCCCTGCAGGATGACCTCTCTGTGCCTCTGATGGAGGAGGACCTGGACGGCTCCTCGGGTGTGCTGTTTCCCTTCTATGATGCAGACACCAGCATGCTCTACCTGGTGGGAAAGGTCAGTTTGGCACCGGTCGGAGGTGGCCGCCTGGACACCTGAGATGGGCAGACAGCAGCCTGGGGCCATTGGGAGCACAGGGCAGGGATGGGCAGGCCTCGCTGGCCACTCTTCTGCCATGAGAAAGAACACCTCCCACACTCCTGGTTCCTTAGGAACACCTGGGGCCAGGGCTCTAGCTAGAAACCTTGACTTTGTCCCTTCCCAACTCCAGGCCCAGATGTGGGGGGACCTTTGGTGTTTCTCAGCAGGGGCACCTGCTGGCCTGGGGGCAGAACAGGTCTCCACTGCGTAGGCCTATCCCATGTCTGGCAGCCCTGGCCCCTACCCACCAATGCCAAAACCAGCATCTCTCCCCCTCCACCCAAGTCATTATGACAACCAGAGACGTCCCCCATGGTAAGACCTTCTGGATGGCCTCTGCGGCCACCCCAGCTCTGACCTTTGCTGCCGCTCTCAGATAGGAGTGGGATTGGGACTTGTGTTCCCAGAGCTTCTGTCTTAGAGGAGTGAGGGTGGGCTTTGGGTCATGGTGGGGGAGATTGAATATTAAAATAAGGACCCAGGCCCAGCACAGTCGCTCATCCCTATAATTCCAGCCTTTTAAGGGCCAAGGTGGGAGAATCACTTGAGCCCAGGAGTTTAAGATCAGCCTGGGCAACATAGTGAGACCCCCATCTCTATGAAAATAAAAAAATAAAAAAAATTAGCCAGGTGTGGTGGCGAACACCTATGGTCCCAGCTACTCTGGAGGCTGAGGCGGGAAGATGGGTTGAGCCCAGGAGGTTGCAATGAGCTGTGATTGCACTACTGTTCTCCAGTGTGGGCAATAGAGTAAGACCCTGTCTCAAAAAAAATAAAGTGTAAAATGAGGATCCCCCTGTCACCCTCCTGCCTTGGTGACAGGGCCCCCAGTTTCCTGGTGTTCCCTTGAGTGAGATGGGTTTACCGATCATCAAAAAAAAGCCAGGTTTTTGCTGGATGGCTGGGTTGCTGATGAGCTCATCTCACCTTCCTCCTCCTCCTCCTCCTTTTCCTCCTCCTCCTCCTCCTCCTCCTCCTCCTCCTCTTTTTCCTCCTCCTCAGGGAGATGGCAATATCCGCTACTATGAGGTGAGCACCAACAAGCCTCACCTGAGCTACCTGACTGAGTACCGCTCCTACAACCCACAGAAGGGGATCGGTGAGTGAGGGACACTGAAGTTCACGCCTGCAATCCCAGCTCTTCAGGAGGCCGAGGCAGGAGAATCTGGGTCAGGGCTTCAGTGCTGGGTCTGGAGAGACAGGGATGAGTCAGATGGGAGGAGAGACAGCACAGCAACACTCTGACTTGGTGGGGGCTGTCCTTGAGGTGTGCAGCAGCACAAAGGAGGAAGTCAGGGAAGGCTTTTCAGAGGAGGCAACATTTGGAGGTACTGAAAGAGGAAGCAGAGCCCAGCAGGGGAGAGAGGGGTGTGTTCTAGGTCAAGGTTAAGCAGTTACAAGAGCAGAGAGATGGAAAGGGCTGACCTAAAAGAGACTCCAGAAAGCAGTCCCCAGCTCCTTTCTAAGCATGTTTGAAGATTAAAAACCCAGCTATAGTGTGGTGGCATGTGCCTGTAGTCCCAGCTACTCGGGAGGCTGAGGCAGGAGAATTGCTTGAACCTGAGGTAGAGGTTGCAGTGAGCCGAGATCATGCCACTGCACTCCAGCTTGGCACCTGGCGATAGAGTGAGACTGTCTCAAAAATAAATAAATAAAAACCCAGCTATATATCTGTAATCTAAAAGAAACCTACTTTTTTTTTTTTGAGACGGAGTTTCGCTCTTGTTACCCAGGCTGGAGTGCAATGGCGCCATCTCGGCTCACCGCAACCTCCGCCTCCTGGGTTCAGGCAATTCTCCTGCCTCAGCCTCCTGAGTAGCTGGGATTACAGGCACGCGCCACCATGCCCAGCTAATTTTTTGTATTTTTAGTAGAGACGGGGTTTCACCATGTTGACCAGGATGGTCTCGATCTGTTGACCTCGTGATCCACCCGCCTTGGCCTCCCAAAGTGCTGGGATTACAGGCGTGAGCCACCCTGCCCGGCCCAAGAAACCTACTTTAAACATAAAGACATGGCTAGGTTACAAGTAATGGACTAGAAAAAGATGCACCATGCTAACACTACTCAAAAGGAAGCTCGAGTAGTTTGATTAAGAGCATTTGGGTCACAGGAGCTGTGGGGATGGAGATGGGGAGCCTTAAGCAGAGCAAGCTGCCTGTAAAAGTCCAGCTAATCCAGCACTTTGGGAGACAAAGGCTGGAGGATCACTTGAGCCTAGGAATTTGAGGCCAGCCTGGGCAACAAAGTGAGACCCCTGTCTCTACAAAGAAATAAAAAAAATGGAGGTGCACACCTGTGGTCCCAGCTACTTGGGAGGCTAAGGCAGGAGGATCACTTGTACCCAGGATTGTGAAGCTGCAGTGAGCTATGATCACGCCACTGCACTCCGCCTGGGCAACAGAGTGAGACTCTGTCTCAAAGTAAAAAAAAAAAGTTCTGCTAACATAATTTAAATCTTTGAAGGTGAAGGGTCTGATTAATTCAACTCCATTTCCCAACACAGGGCCCAACCCAGTATAGGTATTTGACCCTGAGCTGTGATTTGGGAGGAGGTTGGCCTCTGTTCAGGTCCAGGTGTGCGGCATGGCTTTGGCCCTTGCAGTGTGGCCCCAGCCTTGCCAGAACCTCTTGGCCCTTCCTGACTCTGCCTACAGGTGTCATGCCAAAGAGAGGACTCGATGTGTCCTCCTGCGAGATCTTCCGCTTCTATAAGCTGATCACAACCAAAAGCCTCATCGAGCCCATCTCCATGATTGTGCCTCGGCGGGTAAGGGCAGTGGGGACCGCGTGGGAGAGAGGTGGGAAACTTGTCCTGGAGAAGACAGACCTGGGGCTGTCGGGAACCAGAGCCTGGAGCCCACATTCATGGGTTAGCCACAGAGCAGCCTTTCTCACTGCCAGTGTTACATCAGTGGCCGTCAGGAGTCCTGGGTCTCAGCCCACCTCTGTTTTTGAGCTGCTCAATGACCTTGGGCAAGTCCCTTTGTTCTCTGGGCCTCAGTTTCCTCAATTCAGAAGGGACTGGGGAGAGCCTGGACTCACAGCTCTAAGGGCCCTTCCCATCTGGGCAGTCTACCCTACTACCCTCTTTACTGTCTGGATTTCTCCTGCAGTCAGAATCCTACCAAGAAGACATATACCCACCAACAGCAGGGGCCCAGCCCTCCCTGATGGCCCAGGAATGGCTCAGCGGGATGAATCGAGGTGAGGAAGGTAGAGAAGAGACCCAGGCAAATGTGGCAGGAACGTGGAGTGCTCAGTAGCCTCAAGCAACTGAGAGGGGTTGGGCCTGGATTTTTATTCTCGTGTAACCTCAGAGCCATGCCCTTGACCTTCAGTTCCCAGGGGCTAGGATGTTCACATACAGGTCCAGGAAGTCAGGTGTCTTGACCTGAGAGCTCAGGAAACTCCAACTCAAGGGACTTTGGCCCATGGAAAGCTTCTTTACATTTTGGGGCCATGGGGGGTGCCTAGACCACCTCAGTCAGACTCCCCATACCTGTTCCCCACCCCTACCTCGGCAATTCTTTTTTTTTTTTTTTGAGACAGAGTCTCACTCTATTGCCCAGGCTGGAGTACAGTGGTACAATCTTGGCTCACTGCAACCTCTGCCCTCTGGGTTCAAGTGATTCTCGTGCCTCAGCCTCCCGAGTACCTGGGACTACAGGCATGTGCCACCATGCCCAGATAATTTTTTGTATTTTTAGTAGAGATGGGAATTTCACCATGTTGGCCAGGCTGGTCTCAAACTCTTGATCTCCAGTGATCCACCTGCCTCAGCCTCCCAAAGTGCTGCAATTATAGGCATGAGCCATTGTGCCTGGCCTTTTGCAATTCTTGACCCAAGAAGACCTCCAGGCAGCAACCCCCATCCAGGTCCCTCTGCCCACTCTACCTGTTCTGAGCTACTCTCCCGCTCCTGCCAACACGAGGGCCAGCCCAGCAGAAGGAGGGGGATGTGTGCTCCCATCCCCACCCCACTTGCTCCATCTCCCTTCTAGCCACCCCAGACTTCCTTCACCCCTACCCCAGTGGCTGAGCAGGCCTCCTGCGTACTGGAAGAGCCTCTGCCTGGGGGTCAGGAGACCAGTGCCAAGTCCCAGTTTTGAATAACTTTAGGTAGGTTTTGCTCCCTGGGCCTCAGTTTCCTCATCCGTAGCCATGATGCCAGCCTCCCCTGCTTCTTGGGGGTGGTGAGAGAACTCATGAACTTGGTAGACAGCAGGGTGCAGTGTGGGTGGGACTGTCCTTACAAAGCAAGGGCAAGGTCTCACATGAGCTTGAAGTATTTGGTGACAGCTCCAGAGCACACACTGTGCTGTTCCTACAAACCAAGCTTCACTTCGAGGGTGGCACACGCGGGTCTCTGTAGCTGATTGCCCTGCTCTGTGTATGCCCTATCCACATGTGGCTGTATTTCCTACACCTGTTGCATCGGTCTGCATGGCTCTGAGTGTCTCTGCATGCCTGCCTGTGTCATCAGTGCCCAATATGCCCATGTGCCGCTGGGCACTCAATCCTCACATAGCTCTGCTTCCCTTCCAGAGCCAATCCTGGTGTCCCTTAGGCCTGGCTCTGAGCTGCTGAGCCCCCGGCCACTGCCTGAAGAGAGACCTGTCTTCAACTCCGTGGCCCCAGCCTCACCCCTGCTCTTGAACCAGGCAGAAAAGCTCGCTGCAGAAGATGGCTGGAGGCCTTCCTCCCTGCCGGAGAAGACCCCAAGGTGGTCAGGAGAACACAGGCCGGAGGAGAAGAGATCCTGGCTGACAAATGGCTTTGATGTTTTTGAATGCCCCCCACCAAAGACAGAGAACGAGGTGTGAAGGAGGATGGAGTGGGCCTCTCACAGGGGGCAGCTGGGGTGGAGGGAGGCAGATCCAGGCTGAGAAGGAGGGAAAAAATGAGTCATGAGAAGACTAATCAGCTGTGTGGCCTGACCTAGTCGCTTGACTCATTTTGTTAATTCATTCAACAAACAGGCAGTGAGCACCCGTCTTATGCCAAAATGATGGGCATACATAAAGTTGGTGGGAGGCCAGGCACAGTGGCTTACACCTGTAATCCCAGCACTTTGGGAGGCTGAGGCAGGTAGATCTCTTGAGGTCAGGAGTTTGAGACCAGCCTGGCCAACACAGTGAAACCCCATCTCTACTAAACATACAAAAATTAGCCAGGCCTGGTGGCATTTGCCTCTAATACTAGCTACTGGGGAGGCTGAGGCATGAGAATCGCTTGAACCCGAGAAGCGGAGGTTGCAGTGAGCCGAGGTCATGTCACTGCACTCCAGCCTGGGCAACAGAGCAAGACTCCATCTTCAAAAAAATAAAAATAAAAATAGATAGTGGGGACCAGGTGCAGTGGCTCACACCTGTAATCTGAACACTTTGGGAGGCAGAGGTGGACAACTCTCACGAGGCCAGAAGTTTGAGACCAGCCTGGCCAACATGGCAAAACCCCATCTGTACTAAAAATATAAAAATTAGCCAGGTGTGTCAGCCCGTGCCTGTAGTCCCAGCTACTTGGGGGGCTGAGGCAGGAGAATCACTTGACCCCAGGAGGCAGAGGCTGCAGTGAGCCAAGATCATACCACTGTACTCCAGCCTGGGCAACAGAATGAGACTCCATCTCAAAAAAGTAAAAAAAAAGATTGTAGGGAGCCGTCCATAAAATGAAAAGGGTTTGACCTGCTGGGTGGTATCAAAGTCTTTCCAGTTCTGACATCACAGGGTTTTCTGTGCTTTCAAAGTCCACATTTGTTAGGTGCCACATCCTGGAGTAGGCACTTTGCTAGAGCATGTGATTGAATCCTCTCAACAGCCCCAGAAGTCAGTCTGTGGCCAAGAACACAGAGGCTGGCATCTCACAGATGGATTCTGATCCTGGCTCTGCTGAGTACTAATTTAGGTCTCAGACCCTAGAACTGGGTATCTCTAAGCTTCTGTTTCCACAGTGGTACAGTGGGGACATTGGCACTGATAGGGGTGTCACAAGCATCCAGTGGGATAACAAAGGCCCTTAGGGCATCACTCAGCATCTAACACCCATTCTGCACAGTGGCAACAATTATGATAATGATGAGGGCGGTTTTCTGGCCCCCATTTCCCAGAGGAAGGAATGGAAGCTCAGCGTGGATAAGTAACTTGCCAAAGGTCACACAGTTCAGTGGTGGCGAAAACACCAGTCTCCAGACTCCAGAGCCAGGCATCCTTTCCTCTATCCCATGGGGGATCTATGGAGGCAAAAAAAATCAAAACATTCCAGTCTTTTTGAATTTCATTTATTGGGTGAAGTAAACAAGGTGTTTGTAAAAGATCTGTGCAATGAGCCCCATCAGGCCTCAGCCATGTTAATGTGACCACCTCCACCTTTCAAAGTCAAGGATAGTGGTTTAGCTTTCAGCTGATGTCCTGACACCCTGGTGATCTTGCCTTCCATCTTCCTTTCCCAGTTGTTGCAGATGTACTACCGGCAACAGGAAGAGATCCGAAGGCTCCGGGAGCTGTTGACCCAGCGAGAGGTCCAAGCCAAACAGTTGGAACTGGAGATCAAAAACTTGAGGATGGCCTCAGAGCAGCTCTGAGCAGAGACCTCTGCCCTCCGTACCCTCAGGGACACCACTCGGCTCCGTGGGGAGGTTCAGAACCAAACCACAAGTCCCCCTAAGAACAACCACTATTTCTATATTTTATACCAGAAAACAAAATTCTCAGTCGCTGAAAGAGATTCCAGTGGGACATGGTGCCGTTTTTCTATTTGCCTTCTTGCAACAACAGTTCTGAACTGACTTTGTTTTTAGATGATGCCTTCTGTTGAATTCTATTGTTAAGGGTCCACGATGAGCTAAAACTTCTCAAGGGGAAAGAACACAGTAGAAAACTAGAGCTGGAAGGACCTAGGTTGACCTGCCTGTGATTTTCAGACTGTGGTCCAGAGACTAGGGGAAGACCGGGCCAGATGCAGTGGCTCATGCCTGTAATCCCAGCACTTTGGGAGGCCAAGGTGTGCAGATTGCTTGAGGTCAGGAGTTTAAGACCAGCCTGGCCAACATGGTGAAAACCGTCTCTACTAAAAATACAAAAATTAGGCATGGTGGCAAGCACCTGTAGTCCCAGCTACTTGGGAGGCTGAGGCAGGAAAATCACTTGAACCCAGAATGCGGAGGTGCAGTGAGCCGAGATCATGCCACTGAACTCCAGCCTGGGTAACACTTTTTTTTTCTGTCTCAAAGAGAGAGAGAGAGAGAGAGGATGGGGGAGACTAAGCAGGAAGGCTGTGTCTCCCTTCCCCACACTGTGTTCCAACCAGACAGCTCCCTTCTATTTTCTATGTTGGGCTACAATGAAAAACAATTCTGCTAGTAAAAAAAAAAAAATGTTTTAGACGTTTGAAAACTGTGATTTGACCAAGTTCCTCATTTTACAGGTAGACAAACTAAGGCCCAGAGAGAGGCAAGGGATAATTGTTTCTTGGCGGGGCTGGGCTGAGATCCTGGTTTTCTGGGTATGTCTTTTGCTATTTTGGGCCTATGTAGGTCTCAGCCCACAGAGCAGAAATCTGTTGCTTCTGGCCTCAACTGTGCCCCAGCTTACTCAGTGACCTCTTGCAAGTCCTGCCCTCTCTGGTCTCAGTTTCTTCATCCGAACAAGGGATACCTTGGAACAAGCTGCTCTCTGCGGGATCTGCCATCTGTAACCTTGACCTAAGGGAAAACTACCTGTGGGGTGATCTGAGTTTGCTGCAGAAACTAACAAACACTGGCGAGGGGCCAGGCCAGGGGGTTTAAACCCGATTCCACAATACGAACATGTCAAAACCAACCTTTCCAACAAGAATCAGCCTGATGTGGGTAGACGCTGTCCCTTATGGGGGGATGCAGACTTCAGAGCTGTGCCCATGACTGCTGACTGCCACCACCAAGGCCCTCAGGTACAGAACCTGCCTCCTGCAGGATGATGTGGGCAGATTTCAGCCCTAGTTAACAGAAGAGTCCCCCAGGAGGTAGGGGGCCTCCATCTCTGGGGACATGCCAGCATAGCCTCTGGCCACCTAACCAAGAGGTCTTCTGGAGAGAAATGACTACTCTAGGTAAGGAAGTAGGAGCAGATGATCGCAAAGTTCCCTTCTCACCTGAAAGCTTTTCTTTGTCCCTCCTTAGTACGTTCCAAGCCCTGCTCTAAAGTTCAGTGGTCAATACAACAGTTCATTAAGAGATAGGGAATGATTAGAAGTGAAATTGGTCCCTCCTTACCAAGGAGGGGCAGATGATCTCCATTGCACAGGACGATTAGATTCTGGAGCTGAGATGGGGACTGCAGGAGGCCACCTAGCCTGGTAGGTTTCAGCCCAGGCTGTACATTAGAATACCCTTGGGAGCGTGCAGGTAATATGGACTCCCGGGCTCCATCCCAGACCAACTGAAGCTGAATCTCCAGAATAGGGCCTGTATATTCATACAAGCTTCACAGGTGATCTGTAGTACAGTGAGTATGGGTATGGCCGACTACGTGTGTACCTATTTGCAATAAAGATGAAGAGGACAGTGAGTGCCAGACAGGAACTGGGATGAAACTCAGATCTCTTAACTCCTGGCTGGTGGCTCCTTAAAAGTCCAGAAGTGTTGTCCCAAGCCCTCCCTCAACATTTCTGGGAACCACAGCTGCAGCACGATGGGGGTTCAGTGCCTCCATCTGCCCCTTCCCCAGCCATAGTTTATTCTGCTTGTCTGTCTGCACAGGCCAGATGCCCAAGTTCCTCATCTTATTCTCCATTTACTCAGTCACTGGGGCTCACTCCCGTCTGATGCGCCAACCAAATTTGCCTTACAGTGTGCTCCAGAACAGAAGGCCAAATCCCAGGCATTGTCAGGGCAGCAGAGCTCCACAGGACAGGCTTACCTGTGTGGCCAACACTTCAGTTTACAAACTCCTCCCACCTCCACTCACTGACACATGCTATTCTAACACAGGTCAGGCAGGCATTACAATCCCCATGTTCAGTAGCAAAGACTTAGCCTTAGAGAAGTGAAGAAATATCATGCTGAGGTCACTGGCTGCCAAGTGGCAGAGGTGGGATTGCATCCTGAGAGCTTCCCAGAATGCCTCTGCACAGTGCCATTCCTTGGCCAGCTCTCTCCACCCCAAGGGACCCAGACTGTACTCTGACAAACAGGACACAGGTGTTTTTGAACAAACTTTTTTTTTTACATCTAGAATAAATTATTTAAATTATTTCACAGCAAGGGAGAGGGATAGGTAATTTTTATCAGATATTTTTTTAAGCCATCTGTTTTTTAAATTATGTTTTTGTTTGTGTTCTTGAGCTGATGTAGTGGAACTGGACCAGCATTTTCAGGGCCCAGCCAGTTGGCAGAGCAGGCCTTCATCTCCTGCTCTGGGCGTCCCCTTTCTGTTGACTCAGGAACTTTCTGAGAATGAGGACAGCACTAGGAGATGGGCTTTGGTGGGTGTCCACCTTAACGCTACAATAATTGTGCTTCCTGGAACAAAACTTGAGATTGTATCACAGAAAGAAACAGGAAGTCAGAAATCAAATCTATGCTTTTAATTGCAACTGTGCCTGACACCGTTTGAATGATTGTTTCAATGTTGTTTCTGAAATTCCTTGTACCTTTGTGAAAAATAATAATAAAAATGAAAATAAATAGATGTGGAATGTGCATTGAAAATAATGTAACAAAATAATAAACATCTGGCCAGACATTTTACTACATGGAGCTTTCATTTCCTTGATGTGTTCCACAAATACCAATTCACTATCTACTGTTGGAGTTAGACACCAAGTTGGAAAACAGGTAGGACAGACATAGTCTTTGCCCTCTCCAGTTTTCACTCATGGTTTAGGGAATGGGGAGGGCCAGGATAGGAGAAGCGTAAGCTATTTTGGAAGGAGAAGCAGGGAAGGCTTCCTGGAGAAGAAGGTAGAAATTTGCAGGATAAGTTGGAATACTCAGGGAAAAGGGTATTTGGGAAGAAGACTGTTCCAAGTAGGACAAACTGCATGTCTCCCAGTCTTGAAAAAGCAAAGGGTGGAGCATAGGCAGGGCGGTGACCAAGGATCTTAAGAAAGAGCCAAGGAGACCAGGCACAGTGGCTCATGCCTATAATCACGGCACTTTGGGAGGCTGAGGCAGGTGGATCGCAAGGTCAGGAGTTCGAGACCAGCCTGGCCGATGTGATGAAGCCCTGTCTCTACTAAAAATACAAAGATTAGCTGGGCATGGTGGCACATGCCTGTAGTCCCAGCTACTCGGAAGGCTAAGGCAGAAGAATCGCTTGAACCCAGGAGGCAGAGATTGCAGTGAGCTGAGATTGTGTAACTGCACTCCAGCCTGGGTGACAGAGCGAGACTCCGTCTCAAAAAGAAAGAGAGAGAGGAAGGGAAGGAAGGAAGGAAGGAAGGAAGGAAGGAAGGAAGGAAGGAAGGAAGGAAGGAAGGAAGGAAGGAAAGAAGGAAGGAAGGCCGGTCTTATAAACGGGAGCCGAGACTTGAGCCTGGAGCAAGTGGAATTAGTGGTGGGAGGGTGTGTATGAAAGTTGGAGTCACTTACGTCAAAACTAAACTAAATGGTGCTCCTGTAGTCTCAGCTACTCCAGAGAATGAGGTAAGAAGATAACTTGAGGCCGGGCACGGTGGCTCACGCCTGTAATCCCAGCACTTTGGGAGGCCGAGGCGGGTGGATCACGAGGTCAACAGATTGAGACCATCCTGGTCAACATGGTGAAACCCCCTCTCTACTAAAAATACAAAGATTAGCTGGGCATGGTGGCACATGCCTGTAGTCCCAGCTACTCAGGAGGCTGAGGCAGGAGAATTGCCTGAACCCAGGAGGCGGAGTTTGCGGTGAGCCGAGATGGCGCCATTGCACTCCAGCCTGGGTAACAAGAGCGAAACTCTGTCTCAAAAAAAAAAAAAAAAAAAAAAAGAAGATAACTTGAGCGCAGGAGTTTGGGAGGCCATGAAGTTGGGTGCCCTCACTAACGATTTGCCTGATAACAGGAACTATTATTGCATGATAATAGGTTGCACCAAACTGCAACCTTGCACAAAGAACCACAATCTTGCACAAAAGCCACCGTATGAGGACATCTGCCCAGCAACTGCCTGTCCAACTTTTGGGCTGAAGCCACCGTATTTATTCTTGTAACCAAGTATTATTATTTTAATACAATATATGCGATCCTCCTCGTTTTGCCTTTAAAAGCCTCCGCTTTCCTTTGCCTCCCTGAATACTCCGTGCCCCCACCCCTTGGGTGCCATGGCACATTTATTCCCGGATTGCAATGCTTTTGCTCAGTCCGAAATAAACTCATTTGGAGAATCTCTGTGTCATTATTTGAGGTTGACGAGGTTTCTCACAATTGTGGGAATGGCTATCTTTCCCGGGAAAAGGGCAACAGAGGATCAGGAGAAAGTAAGAGGCGCACCGTCCCCCTGACCCCGGAAGGTCACAGCCAACTTTGGTCCCATCATCAGGGCTGCAGTTTTCTAGGCGTTACTGGACCATCGTCATTAAGCAGGAAGCCCACCCTCTCCCAGCTGGCCCATTAGGAGCCTCCCATGTCTGCTGGGGCCACCTCCCGACTTGGGCGGGCAGAGGGAGCACCCTGCTGATCGGAGGGTGCTCCGAGGCCCTTCGCTGCTCGCGGCTAGCTGTCATCCTCCCGGCGGCCGGGGGCGCCCTGCGGTCCTCCAGTGCCGGAGCTGGGCCGGCCTGGAGCCGCCCCGCCCACGGCCGAGGTTTCGATTTCCCGTGTGAGCCCCGCCCCGTGCCCCGGGAGCCCGAGGCGGCGGGGATGAATGGCGGGTGCGGCGGCTGCGAACCTGACCCCTGGGGGATCGGAGCTCGTCGAGGGATGCGGCTGGCGCTGCCCGGAGCACGACGACCGCGTGACCGAGCTCTTCTGTCGCAGCTGCCGCCGCTGCGTGTGCGCGCTTTGCCCGGTGCTGGGCGCGCACCGCGGCCACCGGGTGGACCTGGCGTTGGAGGCGGCGGTACACGTGCAGGTGGGGACGGTGGGAACGCCGCGCGGGAGTTGTGGGAGCCAGCCCAGGCACAACGGTGGAAGAGGGGGTGTGCCTGCCATCCAGTGGCCAGGGGCGGGTAACAACCTGGAAACCACAGGTGCCCCAGAGGGCGTCTAAGCGGTCGACGAAAAGTTCAGAACCGGAGACTGAGACCCACGGAAGGGCAAGGACGAGTCAAGGCCAGCAGTTGAGCTTCAGAAAAGGTGGGTTTAGGAGTGAGAGGTTGGGAGCCCAAACTGGTACCCAGATTTCCTTGACCCTGTCCACCATGGCGGGTCCACCACATTGCCATTGGGCTGGAAGCCAGTCTGCCTTTTAGTTAACAGAGGTGCAAACCCTCCCTGTTAATAAACAGCCCTGTGTAGCTCAGAGAGTCACACAGACATCTCCAGTTTACTCAATCTGTAGTCTACAGAAATGGCCTGTGAACCCCACAGAAAGAGGCTGTGAACCTTGAACTGAGGACAGCCCGATTGCCCTGGGAGCAGCCTCAACAGTCACTACCTACCTCCTCTCCCCTCACTGGCCACACAGACACTCCCATTCCTGCTCACAGCAGCCCTGTGTCAACTATTGTTATTACAGACATTTTATAGGCCACAAGAGGAAGGCTCTGAAGGCAGGGGCAGGCCTTGAACCCAGGACTCCATTAGCCAGATGCCCCCAACAGGGCCCTTCTCATTATGGAAGCCTCGCCCATGCATAATCCTAGCAGTGGCCAGGGGCTTTGGGCTCCTGCTCCAGCTTCCCAGCTGTTATTCTGTGGCTCCTCCCAAATCCTCTCTCAGGGTTTCATGAAGCCTGGGTGACGCAGGCCCTCCTGTCTGATAGATGTTGATTCTACCACTTCTGTCTCAAGAAGTCTTCTGTGATGAACTCGGTCCCATCTCGAGTTTTTCCCCTGCAGCGCCTGACTCCAGACCACCACATTGTGACAACCTTGGAACTCCAAGGTGAAAAGGGGTGTATGGGGGACAATCCATTGGAGTCCTGGGCTCAAGACCTGCCCCTGCCACCAGACCCTTCCATTTTTTTATGTATGAAATGGCTGTAATTATAATAATAGCTCCTTGAAAAACAGTTACTCAGAATTAACAAGGCTGCTTTTCACAGATCTGGCTCGAGTCTCACCCATCCGTTTGCCCAACCCCCTACCCACTTACCTACAGTCAACTTCAAGTAATAAGATTCAGAAAATATAATTAAGTGCAGAGTTTATCTAAGCCCAAAGCTTGGGAATGGCAAACTGGGACCAGAGATTCAAATTTCCCTGACTATCCACTCTAATTAGCAGCAGTTACACATAAGTTTTTGAGGGAAAAAAAGCAGAGGCATTTCCTCAATTGTTTAACAAGAATTTATATAAAAATGACATAGTGGTCGGGCACAGTGGCTCATGCCTATAATCCCAGCACTTTAGGAGGCTGAGGCTGGAGGATCACATGAGGCCAGGAATTCAATACCAGCCTGGCCAACAGGGTGAAACCCCATCCCTACTAAAAAAATATGAAAATTAGGTGTGGTGGTACATGTCTGTAATCCTAGCTACCTAGGAGGCTGAGGCATAAGAATCGCTTGAACCCAGGAGAGGGAGGTTGCAATTAGCCAAGATCATGCCACTACACTCCAGCCTGGGTGACAGAGTGAGACTCTGTCTCAGAAAAAAAAAAAAGAAATAAATAAAAGAAAAAGAGAATCTCTATGGCAGAACAACACCAACCCTATTCCACTGGGGAGTCAACTAAAAACATCATTAAGAAAATCTCAAACTTTCCTTAAAAGCCAGGAATTTGGCTTCTACAACTTTGTCTACAACCTTCCTTGTAGCCAGGAAATAATTCAGGATTTAGTCCAAAATGTAGGAAAATAATAAAAACTCAAAAACAATGGCCAGGGCTGGAATCTAATAACAGGAATAACAAGTGTGCTAAGATTTTCTTCTGAAACATGATTTTTCTCTCTCCAGTTCCTTGCTTTTACCAAAGATGAGTCTTGATAGGACAAATTTCTTTGCAAAATAAATTTTGGCATTATACTTGGCCTGTTAATTTGTACTGTTGAAACTTTCATAAGGAATTTTGGATTCAACTTTTTTTTTTTTTTTTTTTGAGACACAGGGTCTCACTCTGTCACCCAGGCTAGAGTGCAATGGCATGGTCTTCGCTCACTGCAACCTCTGCCTCCCAGGCTCAAGTGATCCTCCTACCTCAGCCTCCCAAGTAGCTGGGACTATAGGTGTATACCACCATACCAGGCTAATTTTTTTGTTTTTTTGTTTTTTTGTTTTTTTAGAGACAGGGTTTCACCATGTTGTCCAGTCTGGTCTAGAATTCCTGGGCTCAAGTGATCCTCTCAACTCAGCCTCCCAAAATGCTGAGATTATAGGCATGAGCTACCATGCCTGGCCTGGATTCAACTTTTAAAAGCCTCACAGCTAAAAAGCTAAACCAAGGATTCACCATCAGACTATGCCTATGATACTCATACACATTGGGTGAATTCTTTGCTTTTCAAGGTCCCAAAATATCTTGAGGTTTCTCAAGATATTCCTTTTTTTCTGAAGACAGTCTCACTCTGTTGCTCAGGCTGGGTGCCATGGTACAATTTTGGCTCACTGCAGCCTCTGCCTCCCAGGTTCAAGTGATTCTCCCACCTGAGTCTCCCAAGTAGCTGGAACTACAGGTTTGCATCATCACTCCTGGCTAATTTTTGTATTTTTTGGTAGAGATGGGTCTTTATCATGTTGGCCAGGCTGGTCTTGAACACCCTGACCTCAAGTGAACTGCCCACCTCAGTCTCCCAAAGTGCTGGGCCCCCTTTTATTTTATTCTTGTTAACATATTTTGATAGAGGCGGGGTCTCACTATGTTGCCCAGGCTGATCTCAAACTCTTGGACTCAAGTAATCCATCTGCCTCAGCCTCCCAAAGTGATGGGATTACAGGCTTGAGCCACCAAGCCTAGCCCCCAAGGGTCTCTTTATGGGCTCTATAAAGTCGACTTCAGTTCCTAAAAGCAGTCTGGTCATACCTGAAGATACACCATTTCAGTCAAAACCTTGGTAAAATTACCAGTGTCTCCAATGTGGTCTATTATGAAAGAAAATGTATTCTTATTGAATATATGCAAATAACTATATTGTCCTCAAATAAGAATACTCACAAATAGCCAGGCATAGTGGCTCACACCTGTAATCTCAGCACTTTCGGAGGCTGAGGTGGGCAGATCACTTGAGGTTAGAAGTTGGAGACCAGCCTAACCAACATGGTGAAACCCCATCTCTACTAAAACTACAAAAATTACCCAAATGTGGTGGTGTGCACCTGTAGTTCCAGCTACTCAGGAGGCCAAGGCAGGAGAATCGTTTGAACCAGGAGGCAGAGGTTGCAGTGAGCCAAAATCATGCCACTGCACTCTGCACTCTGGCCTGAGCGACAGAGCAAGACTCCATCTTAAAAAAAAAAAGAATACTCACAAATAGTTTGCAAATTTTGGAGAAATCAGGTAGAGAGAAAGGCAAATGTTTCAGTTTTGCTCACAAAAGTGTATTTTATCCAGTTGCTGTGACAAAAGAAAAAAAGCTTTTTGATTGAAAAACAAAATATAAAAAGAATTAGCAATGTTTTGAATTTTTTTAAAAATAAAAATCACTTTTGTCTTCTATCAGTTTAGTCCCATGTAAATAATTCTTGCTCTGCTTGATGTTGGGTTAGCAGTCTTCATGAAAGCCTCAGGTTCTTTTTAGAGTTCTGGAAATTTTTACTTAGTCCAGTGGTATGATCTCTGAAGTTACCAGAAACCTGTATTCAAGAATACTTGTCAGGGTCTTTTACAAAAATTTCCTTAAAGAAGAAGCAAATTTTGGACTGTAACTGATTATAAACTACTTTCTTTAAAAAAGAATCAAACTAAGGCCAGGTACAGTGGCTCATGCCTATAATCCCAACACTGTGGGAGGCTGAATCAGGCAGATCATCTGAGGTCGGGAGTTCAAGACCAGCCTGATGAACATAGAGAAACCAGTGTCTACTAAAAATACAAAATTAGCCAGTTGTGATTGCAGGCACCTGTAATCCCAGCCACTCAGGAGGCTGAGGCAAAATCACTTGAACCTGGGAGGTTGTGGTGAGCTGAGATTAAGCCATTGCATTCCAGCCTGGGCAACAAGAGTGAAACTCCATCTCAAAAAAAAAAAAAACAAAAAAAAAACCACACAAACAAGAATCAAAGTAAAACAAAAATTGTCTATGGATGGTAAAAGGCTTAGAATAGCCATGGTTAAAGATGAAATTGACTCGGACATTTGGTTATTTGTATAGCATATAACAGTTTATCATAATAATTATAATATACTAATAACATATACTAAGACATATCAGACTTTTAGGAATCTCATACAATTTTGGAACACATTAATAATACATTTTTATAAATATAACTCAAAGTTCAACATCATTGCTTATTTGACAATATTTTCCATATGACTTTGACATACCAAATAAGCCTAATGTGTCTCTTTTGGACTTGCAGAGGTTCTGGTTATGCCCAAGTCAGCTTGGGTCAAAAAGACTTAATTTTTGAATTTGAAATTTAATTTGGGGAAGTATCTCAAATATTAAAGGTTTAAAACACTTGTTATAAAAATAAGAAAGGTTTAAAACACATGATCAAAATAGAATCACAGGTCACTACAAAATAATGATAATTCATTTTAGACAAATGATAATTCAAAGATTTCAAAAAGCAAAAACCACTCTGATAGAGAAGATTCAGTTTTCAATCAAGAGACCTAATAAAGACAGCATGGGACAAACTCCCCTGTTACCTTTTCTTTGCCATTAATGCAAAAGTAAATATACCTTTTACCTTATTAATACCACATTCCATTGTTATTCAAAGAAAAAAACCAAATTTTACTTTTAGACCCCAGGCACAGTGGCTCATGCCTGTAATCCCAGCCCTTTGGGAGGCCAAAGCTGGTGGATGACTTGAGCTCAGATGTTCAAGACCAGCCTGGGCAAAACTGTGTCTCTACAGAAGATACAAAAATTAGCTGGGCATGGTGGGGCATGACTATAGTCCCAGCTACTTGAGGGACTGAGGTGGGAGGATTGCTGGAGCCTGGGAGGTCGAGGTTGCAGTGAGCCAAGATTGCACCACTGAATTTCATTCTGGGTGACAAAGTGAGACCCTATCTAGAAAAAAGAAAAAAATTACATATGTATTAGTACATTATCAACCATCCAATCTCAGTCAGCTTTGACCACACAAGACAAGATTTCCATAAACCTTCAATAATCGCTCACCATTTTCCACTAAAGAGCAAATCAATGCTCTGATGAAACCCTGTTGTTCCAACGCAGGAGCCCGGACTCTGGCCTTACATGAATGTGCTTTTGATATTAATACACAAGTTTTAGAAAACTTATAAATGACCTCCTTCTTTTTTTTGAGTTGGAGTTTTGCTCTTGTTGCCCAGTCTGGAGTACAATGGTGCCATCTAGCTCACTGCAACCTCTGCCTCCAAGGTACAAGCAATTCTCCTGCCTCAGCTTCCCAAGTAGCTGAGATTACTGGTACATACCACCATGCCCAGCTAATTTTTGTATTTTTAGTAGAGACGGGGTTTCACCATGTTGGCCAGACTGGTCTCAAACTCCTGATCTCAGGTGATCCACCTGTCTCAGCCTCCCAGAGTGCTGGGATTACAGGAAGCTACCACGCCTGGCCATTTCCTTCTAATTTTAAACAACTTGGTCACATGTAAAATTTATTTTATGAGATTAATCTTCCACAGACCTATAATTTGCTTAAATCTTCAGTTTTGTCCTATACTTCCTTTTTATTTTGGCATTCTACCTTTGGACAAAAATATACTTCCCTTTTCCCATTATCATTCTGACTACATGAAGTTCTCTCTCATGCAAAAGAAAAATTCCTCTTTTTCAACTCTCTTTACCAAAAACACATCTGACTTTCTTTATACACTCTGTAAATATAATTGTTTCTTTTATATCAAGTAGTTATTAACTACAATTTCCACTCTTAGTAACCTGAATTTCCAGTGAAAAACCTAGGAAGCAAGTAATTTTGAGCTGTTTTCTACCACCATTTGTAATTGAAATAATTTTATAATTTCTAGAAAGATGGCTTCTCAATTTTCGTAACAGATCTAAATATATTTAGCTTTTCTATACCATGTAAATGACTCAGACATTTTATGATGACCTATTACTTAATTTAGCATAACATGATATGTTACTGAAAACAACTTTTAAAACTATGAAATGTTCATTTATAAACTTTCATCTCATTTATTTAATTTTTTCATTCACAGCAATTTTGCCTGAATTGTTCATTAAACAAAGCTAGCCATCATCAGTTGATTTATTTGGTAATCATTTCTATAGCTTGTGAATGTCAGCCTCCCAAGCAGCGGGGACTACAGGCATTCTCCACTATGCCCAGCCCGGCTTCTTGTTTTGTTTGTTGTTTTTTGGTAGAGGTGAGGTCTTGCTATTTTGTGCAGGCTGGTCTCAAACTCCTGGCCTTAAGTGATCCTCCCACCTCAGCCTCCTGAATAGCTGGGATTATAGGTGCAAGCCACCAGGCTCAGCTCTTGAATCTCATTATGTAAGGTTGACACTATGAATACCCATTTTACATCCACATATCCACCTTCCTATCTATTCACCCATTACTCATTCATCCATCCACCATTCACCAAACATCTATTCAGTATGTATTTTAGGCCATGAGTCAAGGAATAGATAGATCCTTCCCTGATCTGAAAGAGTTCCGTGGCTGGTTGGGGGAGAAGCTGGCAGGTCCTGATAATTCTTTTTTTTGTTTGTTTGTTTTAGACAGGGTCTTACTAGCCCAGGCTGGTGTGCAGTGGTGTAGTGGCATGATCATGGCTCAGTGCAATCTTGACCTCCAGGGCTCAGGTGACTCCCCCCAACCTCAGCCTCCCAAGTAGGTAGGATTACAGGGGCATGCCACCATGCCCAGCTTTTTTTTTTTTTTTTTTTTTTTGTGGTAGAGGCAGAGTCTCACCATGTTGCCCAGGCTGGTCTGGAACTCCTTGGGTTCAAGTGATCCTCCTGCCTCAGCCTCCCAAAGTGTTGGGATTATAGACATGAGTCACCATGCCTGACCAGCCCCTGATAATTCTGTTCAATTCAGCAAACACTTCTGGGTCACCCCCTGGTCCCTGTGGGGAGTAGGAATGAAGCGAGCCTGCCCTCAGGAAGCTCCCAGTCAATGGGACAGCCAGATCTGGGCCCAACAGCTGAGTGTAAGGCCAGCGGTAAGAAAGGCTAAGATGGAGATGAGGTCACACCTGTGGGGAAGGGAAATGCAGAGCAGACTTCGGGGAAAACAGCAATTTCAAAAAGCAGAGATATGGAAGATGGGAAGAGCAGGAAGCATGAACCCCAAGGACCTCTCACCTAGTCCAGGGCCAGAGGGCCACAGACTCCCTGGAATGTATGTTTCATGAGGGCAGCACCTGGAACAGGGCCTAGCATGTAGTAGGCGCTCAGTTAATAGTAAGTGGCTGTTCTTTCCCACACCCCAAGCTGCTTGCCTTAAAGTCCTATTTGAAAGGCTGGAAAAGCAAGTCACAAGCAAGACTTGTCCTAGATAAGAGAAGTGTGGGGAGGGGGTGAAAATCAAGATTTGAGGCATACCTGATGCAGACCTCCAACAATGAGAGGGGCCCTAGTCCCAGCTCATCCACCAACTTGCCACATGACTTTGGGCAAGTCACCTCACCTTCAGATGCCTCCACTGAAAAAGAACACAAGGGTAAGTGGAGATGACCCTTGTGAGGGGCCTGTTATTCAGAAGTGACAGTATTATGACTTTTTTCCTAACTCCCTCTTGTACAGAAACTCACCCAAGAATGTTTAAAGCAGCTGGCAATCAAGAAGCAGCAGCACATTGACAACATAACCCAGATAGAAGACGCCACTGAGAAGCTCAAGGTGAGTGGACATTTCTTCCTCATTCCCATGGAGAGGCTCACATTTCCCCCCAGACACAAGGGATCCCCAATACAGAGCCAATGAAAAATAAAAACCAACTTCGAAGGGGTAGATCGGGTTTGGTGGGGCCTGGAGATTCTATAATTCAGGTTCTGTAGAAAAAGAACACCAAATTACAGACAAATTTAGGTGTAAGACCGTGGAGGGGCCCTGAGCTTTGGTTTCCTTTGCTTTGTGGCAAACCTCTGGTTCCTTAGAGTTGTCTGCCACTCTCTTGGAAGAACTGGTCCATTATCCCAAATTGCCTTAAACAAAGCAAAATATAGCTTAAGGAATATGCAGGTATCTCTAATTCCACTGCCATTCTGAAAGAAAGTGAGTAGGGTATAGATTGGTTCCACAAAGAGATACTTTCTTCACTCTCTTTTCATAATGATGTTGAATGGATTCTCTGTGGATTTTAAATGGGAAGTTGAGGCTGACATTATTCTAACTAACCATTGTGACCGTGACTAACTTGTTGTGTTTGCAGGGGCTCAGGGGCTGCCCCTTCCCCTCACATCCTCTGTTGCTCCATCCTTACAGTGAGCACTGGGGTGGGAGGCCCTCCTGGGGCCTGCCCCACTAAGAGTTGGAAAAATGTTTGCTCTGTACTTTGAGAGGCCAAGGCTGGGGGATCACTTGAGCCCAGGAGTTCGGGACCAGACGAGGCAAGACAGTAAGACCCCATCTATACTAAAAATTTTTTTTAAAAATCCAGGCACGGTGGTGCTTGCCTGCAGTTCCAGCTGTTTGAGAGGCTGAGGTGGGAAGATCGCCTGATCCCTGAAGCTTGAGGCTGCAGTGAGCTAGGATCAAGTCACTGCGCTCTAGCCTGGGCAACAGAGCAAGACTCTATCAAAAAAAAAAGGGACCCCACGTCACTGCTCTCTAGCCTGGGCAACAGAGCAAGACTCTATCAAAAAAAAAAAAAAGGAACCCCACATCACTGCGCTCTAGCCTGGGCAACAGAGCAAGACTCTATCAAAAAAAAAGGGACCCCACGTCATTGCTCTCTAGCCTGGGCAACAGAGCAAGACTCTATCAAAAAAAAAAAAAAGGAACCCCTGACTACTTCACATAAAGAGGAGTGGCTCTGACCATGGGAGCAGCTAGCACCGGTTTTTCCTGTGCACGCCAAGCAAGAGTTGGCTCCCACGTTTGCCTAACGTCGATTCTTTGTCAGGTGTCTTCATGACGCTTTGCTGGTGTGCTGAGGATGCTTGTGGTTCACAGCTGTGGCCCCAGCTTAGTCATTAATAGTGTCTGTCATGTCTTCAGGAACAGAACTCTGGGCTTGGAAGATAAACAGTACCAAAGGATTTGGAAAGTGAAAGCTGTCAAGTTGGAAGGGCTGGGGGAGGTGCTGGGGCTGTTCAGCCTGAATATCTAGCTCCCTGTTTGCAAATCCCTGAGCAGATGTGGTTTGAGGGCCCCAGGGAAAGAATTCGGACCCATGTGGACGGTCTAAGGCTTGCCTGGGCCACACTGGAAGCAGAAGAATTGTCTTGGGCTACACATAAAATACACTAACACCAACAGTAGCTGATGAGCTAAAAAAAGAAAAAAAAAAATCCCCCCAAAACTCATGATGTTTTAAGAAAGTTTACAGATTTGTGTTAGGCCACATTCAAAGCTGTCCTGGGCCACATGCAGCCTGCAGGCCACAGGTTGGACAAGGTTGGCCTGTGGAATGAGGACTCATTCTCTTTCTTTTGACCCCTTCCCCAACTTTTTAACTTTGTGTAGTTTCAGAGGAAGTTGCAAAACTATTAAAGTTTTGTGTACCTTGACCTAGTTTGCCCCAAGGGTTACTTGTTATATAACGATAGCACACTATAAAAAAAAAAAATGGATGGTATGTGTGTATCGTTGTTTTTTTTTGTTTTTTGTTTTTTTTTAAGACTGGGTTTCACCATGTTGGTCGGGCTGGTCTTGAACTCCCGACCTCAGGTGATCCACCCGCCTTCGCCTCCAAAGTGCTTGGATTACAGGCGTGAGCCACCACACCCGGCCATGTGTATAGTTTTATGTCAACTTATCACATGGATAGATTTGCATAATCACCACTGCAATCAAAATCCAGGCTGTTCCATCATACCTTCATCTATGGTAGGTATTTACCATAGATGTCCCATACATGCTGGGTTGTGAGCATGCCCTTCAGAGCACTGTGACATGAGCATCTTCAGGGGATGCTATAAGTTTCAGTAGCTCCAGACTCATTTTCATATTATTTTTCAGTTTTGAGGTCCATGAATTTAGACTCCAACACTGCTTATAATGCAAACCTGTTGTTTCATTTGTTTTGCTGGTGATTTTCTCTTCATCCATGACCCTGAATAGATGACTAGACTCCTTTTCCCTTCCTTGAGCCAGTGGGTGGAGTTTTTCTGGTGTCTAGTTGATGGATGAAGCAGCTCGTTGTGGATCTGGCTTGATGCAGGTCACCTGCATGCACCTCTGGCTCCACTCCTTCCAGGTAGCTTAGCTTCAGCTCCTGCCGGGTCACTCACTCTGTTTCCTCTTTGGTTTTGGCACCAGTGAATTTCCTGTGTTTGTTAGTTTTATTTTGTTTTTGTTTGTTTGTTTTTTGAGATGGGGTCTTGATCTGTCACCAAGGCTGGAGTACAGTGGTGCAATCTCAGCTCACTTCAACCTCCGCCTCCCAGGTTCAAGTGATTATCCTGCCTCAGCCTCCCGAGTAGCTGGGACTACAGGTTCCTGCCACCATGCCCAGCTAATTTTAGTTTTATTTATTTATTTATTTTAAAGATGGGGGTTTCACCATGTTGGTCAGACTGGTCTTGAACTCCCAACCTCAGATGATCCGCCCACCTTGGCCTCCAAAGTACTTGGATTACAGGCGTTGGCCACTGTGCCCGGCCAATTTTAGTATTTTTACTAGAGATGGGATTTCACTGTGTTGGCCAGGCTGGTCTCGAACTCTTGACCTCAAGTGATCTGTCCACTTTGGCCTCCCAAAGTGCTGTGTTTGTTTTATTTTGTACTTAGTAATATAATTTCAACATTTGCTTATTTTATCAGCATTTCTCTGTGTTTGAAGTAGAAAGGGCGATTTTCCATGTCAGCTCCTCCCTTGTTAACCAAAACCTTAGGTTGCTTTATATATGGAGTTTTGCTGTTATTTGTTCAGGATCATAACACTTTCTATGTCATTAAAGGTTCTCTTTCAATGTCAGTATTAAAGACTGTAGATTCCATGATATGACTCTCCTGTGATTCGTTAAGGTAGTTACCTAATTTCTAGACAGTTTGGTAAATATTTTTGGCACCTTGATTTATTTCCTTCAGGACACAATCCTAGAAGTGATGCCTCTCTAATAAGCACAAACGTGTGTAAGTATCCCAATGCCTTCTGTTGAATTATGGCAGGCGTAGTTTGTGGCAGAGAGGTCTGGGGCAACCGTGCGGCTCCATTCTTATTTACATAGAGGCAGCACTAGGGGAAAGTCCACTCATTTGCCTGAAAACTAATCCGTAAAGCAGGTCTGTAAACATATGAAAATCAATAAAATGTATACATGGTCCAAAGTCTGTTGTTCAGAAGCCAATAAGCAGGCTCAACCAGTTCCTTCCAGAGAACAATTAAGGACTTGGTCATTAATTCCCAGCTGACACCCATTAAATGATTTTCTCTTATTTTTTATTTTTTTTTTGGAGACGGAGTTTTGCTCTTGTTTACCCAGGCTGGAGTGCGATGGCGCAATCTTGGCTCACTGCAACCTCCGCCTCCTGGGTTCAGGCAATTCTGCCTCAGCCTCCTGTGTAGCTGGGATTACAGGCATGCGCCACCACGCCCAGCTAATTTTTTGTATTTTTAGTAGAGACGGAGTTTCACCATGTTGACCAGGATGGACTCGATCTCTTGACCTTGTGATCCACCCGCCTCGACCTCCCAAAGTGTTGGGATTACAGGCGTGAGCCACCATGCCTGGCGTGATTTTCTCTTATATCCTTGTTAATAGGCTGATTACCTCTCCCATCATGCCGTCTCAGGTGGTGTCATGATTTAAATATTTGTCCTTTCCGAAGCTCATATTGAAACGTAATCCCCAATGTGCCAGTATTGAGAGGTTATTGAAGAGGTGACTGGGACATGAGATCTTGATCGGGTCACGAGGAATCTGCCCTCATGAATGGACTAATCCATTCATGGAGTAATGGATGAAAGGATTATCACTGGAGAGGGGTTATCACAGAAGAGAGACCTGAACTAGCATGTTGGAGTGCTTAGCCCCCCTCACCATCCAATGCCCTGTGCCACCTTGGGACCATGCACAGTCTATATATTAGGCCATTCTTGCATTGCTGTACAGAAATAACTGAGGCTGGGTAATTTATAAAGACAAGTGCTTGAATTGGCTCACAGTTCTGCAGGCTGTACAGGAAGCGTGGTGCTGGCATCTGCTCGGCTTCTGAGGAGGCTTTTACTCATGGTGAAGATAAGCAGGAGTAGGCGCTTCACATGGCAAGAGCGAGAGCAAGAGGTGGGGAGGAGCCACACACTTCTAAACAGCCAGATCTTGTGAGAATTCATGCACCACTGTGAGGACAGCTCCAAGTTGACCAAACCATTCATGAGAAATCCACCCCTGTGATCCAGTCATGTCCCACCAGGCCCCACCTGCAACACTGGAGATGACAGTTCAACATGAGATTCGGGAGGGGTGGGGGACAAATATCCAAACTCTATCTGTCTTTACCAGCAAGAAGGCCCTCACCAGATGTGGCTCCTTGATCTGGTACTTAGCCTCCATAATTATAAGAATAAATCCCTTTTCATTGTTAATTACCTAGTTTCCAGTATTCTGCTATAAGCAATAGAAAACAGACTAAAACGGGGGCCAATACATCCCGGTGTAGGGAAAATTCAACACGGCCTTCTACCCTAACTTTTTACTCAAACTGGGATTAGATGACAAAATAGCAGAATGGCT